ATTTTTTGATTACAAATTGAATTTTATACGTTCGCCTTCGCACTGCATTGATTTATGATATTTTATTCTACCCGCTTGGCTACAGTTCGCTTTTTTCTTTTTCTTTTAATTAAGTCCGAGTCCAAGTGTTAGCCAGCCGCATTTGATTTATGCTCTGCTCTGACTCTCCCCCACCCTACCTACCTCCCTCCCTCACATTTTATATATATATAATTAAAGTTGAAAGTAAAGAAACTCTGGCGATCGGCGCTTGGTTAGAAACGTCGCGCCAAGCTTTCCCTTGAGTTTGTCTTGATCTTGTCTTTGGGCCTTGGACATTGCGTGCGATTGCATTACGAGTGAAATTTTCTGCCTTTTCTCGCTTGGCGATCTTGAGGCATCGATAACATTTTTGCTTAGGTTTTTTTCCATTTTTTTTGGCCATCTAAAACTGACATCATCAGAGCGCAAGCAGTTCGCAATTTAATGCCGTGCCATGAAGTATCTTTGGAATACCCTGGCAACCGAAGGAAAATGTGTATTGGTGGTATGATCGATTTGGTTAAGGCAGAGAGAGGTGGGGAGGATCTTATGAAGTACTTTCTGAACTGAAACAATCACTGAGTGGAGATAGTCCTGTCTCTATATCCATAGGCTTATAGAAGCCTTGAGTCAAAAATCCTTTAAGAGCCAATGAACTAACGTTATAAACTAGGATCTTCTGACAGTCTCTCTACGCCAAAGATCGAGTTTGATCTTGACATAATTAATTACTTGTTAATATACCCGAAAATCTATTAGAATCCAAAGAATAGAATCTTGAACAATTTCATAAAACTTGAGTTACCTAATATCTAAAAAATAATAAAAATACCATTAACTCTATACTATACTATGGGAATGAAGTATATTTCCCATTCGATCTCTGCAACTTAGCAATACAAACATTGGAAATATCTAATTGCTAAGGTATATGCCAGCACTTAGATATGTATATTCCAGTCGAATACTCCCGATTAGAGCACTCGTGCTTGATTTTCCTTTAGCTGCGGTTTCTGATTACATAAATTTGGCGCCTGACCGCGAATCAAAGAGACAGAGGGGATCGGCCTGAGAAGGGGGCGCAGCGAGAGCTCCACATTTGCATCTGCGAAGCGCCGTCGAATGTGTGTCAGGCACTGGGGCGCGGCATATGTAATTACAATAACTGCAACTTGCAACTTGCATCAATGCAAATAACGTAGAATGTGTGTGTTTGAGGCAGCCGAGCTGGGAGGGGCGGGGGCTGCAGAGCGACGAGATCGAGAAGGAGAGAAACCTGTCGCTTTTAATTAAAGGCCGCCCGACTCTAAGTAACTTTTCATGTATCAACTTATGCGCACAATTTTAAGCGACAGCAACAACAACAACAACAACAACAACAACAATCAGAAATAACTTTTGCATTTAGTCATAACTGCATTTAAAATATTTTCGATTGTTGACTGGCCCCGCGCACAACAAAAACCCGTATTTTGATTTTATTTGGATTGTTCGTAACTCCCCCATATGCAAAAAAAAAAAGCAACAAAACTCCAAATAAATAAAGAGAGAAATATATAAATGGGATAGACGCTGAATGCAATTGTATCCCAGCCCAGGTACGACCCACTTCTGTCATGTTGCACGATAAATACTCGCGAGATTTATTGTTCGCCACGGTGGCAGGCATAATTACAATTTATGCCCCATTCGGGGGCAGCACAAACAGCCAACCAGCCAACAACAACTTGTGCAATCTACGAGCCAAGTTCAGAGCGTGTTTTGAGGAAGCTGTCGCCAAAGACAAAGACCGTACAAATTGCAAAAGGAAGCTGTCCATCGTCTTTTGTCTCTCAGTCAGAGTTTGTCTACCTGCCACACAATTGCCATTATTCTTGCCGCCTATTGAAAGTGAATATTTATAAATAACGGCTGGGAGGAGAATGAAACACATGCCGGAACATAAATACTCTAGCAGTCCATGGTACATGGAAGGTGATTTTGGAGTTAGCTTTGATAAGAAATAAGGCTTTCGATATTTTCAGCAGCTTTATGAGCTTTATACAACCTTTAATTGCATTTTGCAATATTAATGAGCTTTTAGGCTCCTGTAACATAAGCTGAGTGAGCTTTTAGTAAGACAATAAAGTGTTCTCCCTTTAAAGGGCTTCTATGATATATAAGTAAGGAATAATAAGTTCTCTTATAAATGTCAATATGATTTGCATTTGAACTGAAGTGCTTCTCACATAAACAGGAATCCTACAAGCAGCTTTAGCATGTCTAAGACGTCACTTGACTTGACTTTAAGCTAAATCCAAACGTTTGCTTCTTTACGAAAATAGCTATATTTCTCCACTACTGCAACTCCTCCAAGTCTCTCTAGCCACCCTACTCAGCCAGTCGATTCTCCCTTCGGTTAGGGTACAATTGACTTTCGCATACCCATTTCAGGGGGGGCCATTACATCATGTGAAGTTGAAGCACTTGGCTGCTATTGTTGAGCACATAATTAAGCGCCGCTTAGCTTATGTAATTAACGTCAGGTAAATAAGAGAGACAAGAGAGACAAGCGGGAGACCGCGAATAAGACGAAGTCTAATGAATCGTTGGCCAGCTGCGTGCGCTGATTTATATGCGAGCTTTTCAAGAGGTTTTGTTGTTGTTGTTGTTGCTGTTGCTGCTGCTTGTTGCTGTGTGAATTGCGTTTTGTCACCGCGTGCACAAGTCCACAATTCGATCTCGCGCACTCAAGAGCTACGTTTACGCAGACTCTCCACTGGAGCACTCATATTCGCCAGCCAGTCAAAGTCAATCGAACTCCAAGTTGAAGTCGCAGCAGCAGCCGCAGCCGTAGCTAGAGCCAGAGCGGAACATGTGACATAAGTCGCCGGGTGTATGGCAATGATATATGAATATGACAAAGCGACATGGACAACTTTATTGGCTCATGAAAAGCGCTGTCACTGCCGCTGACTGACATAAATCACGAGCAAAAGCTAAAAACAAAAACAACAAATAAAGCGCAAACCATTCGACGAACCCAACGATCCAACTTCAATCGGGCGATCGCAACTAAAGATCTTAGCTCAGAGTAAAAACCTAAGCAAAAGCAAGAAACTTAAAAATAAATCAAAAATCAATTTTCGCAAAAGACTAAAAGAACAACGAGACGAGACGAGACGAGGCGAGACGAGACATCAGCCAGTGTGAAGATCGCGATCTTAGTTCGTGTGTATCTGCATCTGTGTGTGGGTTTATCTAGCTTCAACTAACAATAGCTAAATAATATTTTTGAAAAAAACTTGAATATATCTGCTTAAATCGAGGACAAGTTCTTAGCATTTAAAATTACATAAATGATATTTATTTATTATTTTTTACATTTATATATATTTATATTTGTGTCATGGAACTCTTTTGATGATGATCGATTTGCAGTTGTTATGAGCAGCAGACTTATAACAGTCTTCAACAGTTAGTTAACTTAATCAAGGTTAAAGTCACGAATTATGATAATTGCTCCAGTTTATATTTGCCAGCAGATGGCACAATGATTTGGGATAAGCTTGAACACAAACTAGTTTACTCGTAGTGCAATTGCCTGTATAAATCAAAGAAATATAGTTTAGTTAATATCTATATGGAAACAGTTTAGCTGTTGATTACAATTGATGAGGTAAGCTGGCGATTTATTTAGCTATGAGTTAACCTTGGGATATTTAATTGATTTGTAGAGGCCAAGACAATACTGTAAATGTATAATTTATGTTTTGTTTGTGCTTTAAGCCATACCTAAGACTATACTTGCGAATTAGAGCTTGTTCTAGAGCTAGCTCTGGCAGAGACAAAGCTCTATAATGGTTAAGTTCTAGCGTAAAGCCTTTTAGCTAAGGGATATTCTATAAATGCTTATGTAGAATCATATGAGCAGAAGAGATCATCCTTTCAGTCTTCTCTATATAACTTCAACTGTTTTTATTATTATTTATTTTTATTTTTTTTTGCAGTCTAAATAAAACGTCCTCACATTAAATTGAATATATTCTCCTAAATTTATGATATTTATTACACAAATAAAATACTCTCTATATTTCAGTCCATCACCTTTTTGTTATAATTGTTTTTGCTCTTACTTGTCATAGAAATATTATCATAACTCATATCTGAACAATATCTAGAATATCTGCACCTATTCTATTTTCATTTCATACATCATGGCTGCAACTCATGTTACCCTCTCTGCTCCCTCAAATAATATACCCCACACATACATAAGTGCGTATATACCCAGCGACCTACCCTATAAGCAAGCATAACTGTTCCCGTTTTTCTTTTCATTTGTCATAGAACCTCAACAAACTAGACCAACAAGTGAAAAACTACGTCATATGTGGCAGCCACAACACACACACACACACACACACACACATACAGAGCACACTGACACGCCACCTATCGGCTGGCGGAAAGCGCAGTCAGACACGCCATCTAGACACGCTAGAAGTGGTCAGAGTACACACACTGAACACTCCTATTTAGCCCATTCGAGTTGTTGCTATTTTGTTTTTTTTTTTTTTCAGCCTTTGCAGCACACAGCGCAACGAAAACCCTTTAGCCCTATAAAATGTGCGCCCAACGCGCATGACCTCAACAATTTGGTTCACTTCAATTGCCAAACGCACACACGAATGGCCAAAAGGTCCTGTTGCGTGCTCCACTACAACGACAACGAGTGCTCATTGTAGGTAAGTAAGTACTTGTTCTTGTTGTTGTTGTTGTTGTTGTTGTAGTTGTTGCTGATATTGTTAGCACTGTTGCCATTGCTAAATGACCAAAGCCTGACTGACCGTACTTTCGGGTCAGTTCGTCAGTTGCGTTGAGTTCGTGAGCAAAGGCGGGCGCGTTGTGTTCCAATATTGAGATTGGCAACTTTTGCTTTTACCTATAGCACGCTTAACGCTACAATATGAATGTCAAATAGCTAAAAAAAACAAAGGTGTAAAGTTCTATATATACTCGTGCATATATATATATATAAAGAGAGAGAGCGAGCAGCCATGGGCTGCGCCAGCAGCACTCCGATGGTTGCAACGGCTGGCAGCGAAATGCTAAAAGCTGCCACACATGTGGCAGGCGATGTCCAAAAGCAAGGCGAAGCGGCAGTTGCAGGTGTGAGCAGTGTGTGTGTGTGTGATTGGTTGACATTTAAAGCTGCATTTCTCAATATTTACACACAGTTGTAGTCGAGCCTGTGCGTATACTTGATATTTGCAAATCAATTGAAGCACATCATTCTTCATTAGCGTAATGAAAGTAACGTAGTTGACCTTTGAACTCACGTCTTTTATTGTGCTAGGCCATCACATAAACAGTTGACATAATGAGCCAATGCCTAAAATAATCAAATAATAATGCCCAACTAATCAAGGGCAATTGAGCAGGCGACGTTGCTCTACAAGGACTAACAATATATAAGCATATATATATACATATATGTTCATCTACTTACACACACACATATACATATTCTCATACACACACACACATATTTATATGAATAGCATATGAAGAAAAACGAGTTTATTGCGTGACCAGCAAATTGGAGCACTCGACTTCTAATTTAAATAATAATAAAAAAAAAAACAATACGTGAAATTTGCATATTGAGTTTGAGCAGCGTACGTGTTGCTGGGCATTTTGCTAGGGCAAATGGCACATTGATTGATTGAATCAATTTGCCGTTGAAAAGAAAAACTAGAGAACCAAAGAAAAAACTGTTGAGCAACTCGCAAACACATCTAATTAGATGATGAAATTAAATAATTATGGGTGCCACTACGAAGGCAGTTACAGCTCTGACAAGATTTATGAAAGTTGTAAAGAAAATTGTTTTAGAATTTGCTATTTGACTAAAGTTATTTATCATAAGTGGGTGAGCATTTTCATGATGTAGCTCACAGAAAGAGTAAGAAATGCTTAGGAATAACAGAGTATAAATACGAAATAGTATGATATATGTAAGGTCTACATATAGAAAGTAGTCAAAAATATCCTGTATGAACTAAATATACATTTTATATTTATCCAGAAATATTTTCCTTTTATATTTCATAGAATGAGTAAAAAATGTTTAGTGAGTAAGAACAGCATAGAAATATAAATAAATAAACCCAATAAATTGAAATGGTAAGATGCTCAGATTTCTTCGACTCACACAGAAAGAAAGAAAGAATTTTGTCAAGAAGAGAGAAACTTGGTTCGATTTATCGAGATTTTCGATTTATTAGGGCACAAATTATCGAGAATCGACTGTACTATAATATGTTATATGATATGATGGCTGTAATATGATATGTGTCAATTCTACAGCATGCCTATATAAATCAAGTTTTCATAATGTTTTTCGCAAATATCCTGTTATACCATACCTTAACCATAAACTAGCTCTGCAGCTGTGCTCATGAAATTCTCATATAGTCCCACTGAAATCTATATCTACATAAATATCCTTAGACAATTGTCTCCTCTTCATCATTCAGTCCTGCATTCACCTTGCACACAGGGTATCTCCCAGTCCTCCATCTGACTTCACATATTACATATAAATCGATGGCAGTCTAATTGACAGCTGCGGGTCAATGGCCTGGCCTGCTGACAATTACGCCAACGGCCCACTCAATTATGGCCCCACATAAATAGATTTGAACAATTTGTCAATCATTTTGTGCCTTTGCAGACGCCACGCAGGCCATTAGCTCGACCATGGACACGGCCAAGGAGACAGTCAGCACAGCCGTGGCGGGCATTACCAGCGAGCTGGGCAGTGCCTTCAAGGAGGGCAGCGAAGCACTGGAGGAGGCCAAGCACAAGGTAATGGAGGGTTTGCATCTGGAGTGCAAGGCGGACGCTGAGCAGACGGAGACGAGCTCATCGAGGGCGCCGACTCCTGCCCTGGAGCCGGATGGCGACAGCTTGAAGACCTCAACGCCCGAGCCAGAGATCGAGAGGGCGCTGGCCAATGAGGAGGAGGCGCCGCCCACGCCCAAGCCCTCGCTCGAAGAGCTCGCCGGGCTGAGCGCCCAGGCGAGCGAGGCGAGTGTCGTCACAGTGGTGGCCGCTACAGTGGTGGCCGAAACGACAGCCCATGCGGAGACGAAGGCAGCCGTGGAGTAAGTACGCATCGAGTGCACCCCGTTGCCTACGTAGAGACCGTAGTTGAGACCACTGCATCCAATGTAGAAACTGCAACAAGTCGCGTAGTTTGTACCCTTTGGCTTTTGTTTTTTGAAAGTAAACCGTAGCTCAAACTAAACCTATACATATACATATATCGTAAATAATATACTTAATTTATCTATATCTCTCTATATATATACTGCTCTCTTTTTCTCTCTCTCGTCAACAATATGTAAATTGTAAATAAATAACCTTTATCTCCATGTACATATCATATACTCTGCATTTCTTATTACGGCCAGCTAGCGGCTATTCGGCTAGCGGCTAACAAGAGCAACAGCAGCAAGTCTTGTGCGTAGTATTGGTAAATCATAAAGATATCTAGACCTATATACTAAATACTATATACACTTCTATATCTATATACAACTTTGGCATGCCAAAGTTTATTGCGGTAAACTCTTGCTCCATGGATTCAGAGAGAGAGGAGTACTTAGACTGTCTGAATGATTTTCTATCTTACTAAAAATATTATTATATTATATTGATTTTTATTTATTTATTATTTTTGCAATAAATGCATATTAATGTATATATTATAAACAATTTTTTTACTATTTAAAAAAAAAGTTAATTGTTATCTGAGTTTGCTATGGCTTGGAACTTCCTCTTGCTTGAGCTCTACTTCTGAGCTCTCAAAGCACATTCAAAGACCTGTCAAAGCCGATTTCACTCATGCTCCATCTAACCATAAATCAATCCCCAACAAGAGTTTCAGCAAACCAAAACTCACACACATAACCTCAAATACAAAGCAAAATACCAAAAGAAAAATACCAAAATGAATCCTTATTAACACACACACACACACACACCGATAACACACTCCCCTGCAATAGTCATTGGCAGCGTAAGGGAGAGTCCGAGCAGGAGGAGCAGCGTCGCCCCAACACCACCGAATGGGAAAAGCTGGCCGATCTGCTGGCCAAGGGCCACAGGTTTAGGCCCTACGAGAGCTTTGCCCGCAATCAAAATCAGTTTTCCGTCTACAAGGACTACACCAGCCTGAGGGATAAGCCCGGCCATTACGACGGACACTTTAGCGACGGCACTTCGCTATCGAGCACCCAGTCAGACCTCTCCAGCGGCCACTTGACCCCAGCCCCACCCAAGGGTCAGCGTGACTATGCCAAGTTCGTGGGCGCTGAGCAGCCGACGAGCGTGTCGCGTGCCAGTTCCCGGCTCTCGAATGTGGGCGGGGCTGGCACAGCACCTCGAGCCTTCGACTATAATCCACAGCGTGAGCGCATCAATCTGGGCACGCGAGGTGCCAGTCGCGTCGAGTCGGCGCGTCGCTCCCTGTGGGCCAGGAGCCAGCCCGACGTGCTGCCCGAGGAGCGCAGCTATAGTCCGGTGAGGCGCAGCAGCTTGGTCGCCGCACTGCGCCCAGTCGGGGATGCACCACAGCGGCCAATGAGCAGATCCACCTCCAACCTGCAGATGACGAGAAAGCAGAGGGAGGAGCAAAGGGAGTCCGTGCCGGGCAGCCGACGACACTCCGAGGTGAACGCCGTGAGACCCAAGGAGAAGGAGAGCAGAGCAGCACCACAGAAGCCCGCCAGATCGAAGGCCACAACCACACAGCCAGCCAAAGAGACCAAACCACTTGCCAAAGCGCCGACTGAGTCCAGGCCTCAGCTAGGTGCGAGCCTCAAGTCCGCACTGGACTCATCGCGCGACATCAGCTCGGCGCTGCTGTTGGCCACGCCCTTAGCCGCCACCTCAGTGCTGCACAGCCCTAAAGCAGACAGCGGCAGTAAACCGCCAACGCCCACTGTGGCACGTGCCGGCACTTTTGTGGTGGAGCCGAGGCAAACGGCAGCTGTCACGCATGCCACGCCCCTGCGACAGGCAACTAGGACAAGTGCTGCCCTTATCGCAGATGCCATTGAATCCGAGGAAGCGAGCACGTCGATGACTCAACGGACACACGACTCACCAAATGCTGCCTCAGCCGTGACCAAATCTCTTCAGTCCCCGTCCGCGTCGCGTGCCCCGTCGCGCCTCTCCTCCAGCAGCAGCGGCACGGATGTGGTCATACAGCCGCTGAGTCATCTGAACACGCCCAGCGCCGTCTCCCTGTCGCCCGATGTCGTTGTCACGGAATACGACGACAGCGACTTGGAGGCGGCCTTGGCACAGCTCGCCGGCAGGCGTGGCTCCACTGCAGCCTCCCTGCACTCCCAGCGCTCCACCGTGCGCGACTCGCGACGCACTTCACCCTGGCTCCGGCGCAATATGGACAACTATTGCAGCCAGGAGCTGAAAACTCACACAAGCTGTGGCGCTCTGGGCGTCTGCTCGTCCGCCCAGGGCCAAGGTGCCGGGCACCTGCTCGAGCGTTGTGAAATCTGTTGCAATGAATTTGTGATGAATTAATTAAGTTAACTAACTAGCAAAAGAAAGAGCGAAGTACACAATTCAGGGAAAATATATACAAATAGCTGGTGAGCGGTAGGCGTGGCACGGCTGCAGCTAGTTCTCCATTCCAAAAACCTTAAGAACTAGAAACTTTGAAATTTATTTTATATATTCTTATAGTATATATTCTAGAGTACGTACTACCTCATAATTCCTTTCAAGATCTCCATCATTTAATTGCTTGAAAAGTTAGCTATTGAAATTTATAAATAAAATTAGGTATATTATATTTTAGATTTTGTATAACTAAACATTTCCTTAGGCATTTCAATTTTTTAATAGCTTTGATATAAAATGTGCCCATAAATTCATTTTTTTTATAAAAAAAATAAAATATATAGATTAAAAGGATGCAAAAAATTGTTATCATTTAAAAATCAAACAATTTGAAAAAAAAAAAATCCTATAAATAAAAGTAAAGAAATAAAATTGATCACGCAGAAAAAAAAAAGAATTATAATTATGGTTTCTTATACATATTAGCTAAAAATGTCTTGCATATTATATGCCTTATTATTAATAATAAATCTAAAAATTAATTATATTTTATTCATTTAAACATCCTTTATTAATCATAATATTCCCACTTAAATCTGTCTTCAATAAATAGCTTTATAAGCCTAGTACCTAAACAAATATAAATAATAATAATAATAATAAGTAACCCAACGATTTTATAAAGCCATAAACAAAACATATTTCATGACCTTTAATCATAATTTTCAAACTAAGAAAATAAAATAGTTTCCAACAAATTATAGCAAATTTATAATACAATTATTTTATAAAATTATTTTTAAGCATATAATTAATCTTTTTATTGTGAATTTGCTTGAAGCGAATACTGGGCTATAAAATACTAAGGCTCAATGAATGAAATTGTATTCGATTGGTATCTAATGCCAATAAATAATGTAGAATTGTGTCTAATTGGAATCCAATACCAACAGATCTTCCCTCTGCTATTCATAGCCTAACATTTTAATGTCGAATGGCGACTAATTGGCATATATTACCAACAAATTACTGTAATGCTATAACATTTAACTGGCATACTATTAACCGTATTATTAACCTGCTTTTCCAATTCAGTTGCCCAAATGTAAACAAACCAAAGACAACAACTTCCATGGTTAAAAGTTCAATTATTGAATTATGAGCGCTTTACAGCCTCCGACTGTGTACTTAAATTTGTTAAACATTAGATCTGTTTTGTGTGTTGTCTAATTGATGACTTAATATAACAACAACAAAATTGAATTGTTTATCTTTGCCGTTCACTCAATTATTCTGCCACTTTGTGTGTGTGTGGGAGAGGAGGGGAGCTGTGGCAGTTAGGTCTTTATGTTCGTTTTATGTTTCATGTTTCACGTACCACATGCGCCACGTCTACCGTCCGTGACTTAATGAACTATTAACAGCAATGATAGTAATTTGTTGTAGCAGCCGAAGCCGCAGCCGCAGCTCCAGCCACAATCGCAGCAGCAACAAATGAAATTGCTTTCAGGCAACAGCAACAACAACAACAACAAACAAACAAGCAACAACAAGTTGTCTTCATGGCACTTTTTGGCAAACAAATAGACAATTCAACAAAGCGACATGCAGACAAATGACTACAGCAACAAAACGAAAAGAAAAAGGAAAAAATGGAAAAAAGCAAGGCAAACTAAACGAATACTCATACTCGTACTCAGAGATATTCATATACTCGAATAGTCAAGCATTTTGCGGGGGTGTCAGATCGTTAGACCCCGTCGCACCTGTAGCCTATAGCAGCAGCAGTCGCCGCAGCAGCAGCAGCAGCAGCAGCAGCCGTCGCAATTGGCTTTGCAACTATTTTGGCACGATTTTCAAATTACGTACATTGACTCGCAAAATGTTTGGTTTATGCCGCAATTAATTTCCAGGCGGAAGAAGCAGCAGCGGCAGCAGCAGCAGCCGAGGCAGCGGCACAAGTGGCCCCCAGTTAAGTTGGAGGTGGAAAAGTTGAAGGTCTTCTGTTACTGTTGAAGTCTCTTAACATGTTGTTGCTGCTGCTGTTGTTGTTGTTGCTGCTCTGGCGTGACATTGAAAGTGAAAGAACAAGTTTTATACGTTGGCAGCGGGGCATTTCTATTTTTTAATGACGCTGACTTTTACATGGCAGCTGACTAGCTGCCTAGCTGACTGACTGTCTCAGCTGTTGCTGCTGCTGCTGTCGCTGTTGCTGCTGCTGCTGTTGCTGCTGCTGGTTCATTGAACGCATGCGTGGCAGCCACAAGTGGCAGCGGCGTCCACAAGTCCACAAGTAACGCTAATGATCTATGAAGTGTAAGTGCTTTGTACTTTTACTTTCATTTATCATAAATGGAGGCGTCATTTGTGCTCGACACAGTTGAAATTAGCAATGCGCCCAAAAAATACGTTTTAGCACTTCATTCAAAGCTGTTGCGGTTGCTGTTGTTGCTGTTGTTGCCGTTGTGGTAAAACTAGCTTTTAATCAAATTTACATGCGCCAACAATGTTTTTTGTGGCCGTACGCACTGTGGGCTGTGCCACAAAAGCAACAACAGCAAACAGCAACAACAACAGCTGCAACAAGTCTTTTTCTTTAGTGTAAAATTGATTTATGCAATTGTTTGTTAGCCACCAGCTGATTTGTTTATATGCGCAACGACAGCAACACGGCAACCAGTAACAACAGCAGCAGCAACAGCACCAGTAACAACAGCACCAGTTGCAACAGCAACAACTGCAACCAGGCAAATCAATAAGTTTATGCAACATGTGGCTGATTGTAGATTTTTGAGTAGATAAAATCAAAAAGACAGCCAGAAGACAATAGCGGTAACCGCGTTCACAGGCTTCCGCTACAAGTTGTTACCATTTCAGCAACAACAGCAGCAACAGCTCTGAGTTAACAGCAACAGGTAAAGCTGGGAAGAAACAGCAAAAGGATAACATAGGTACAGTTACAGTTGAGCAATATATTACTGGTAAGAGCAACATCTACAGTGAACAGCAAGGGCTAAGAGTAACAGTTAACAGCAAGGAGCAACAGCAGCAGCAGCTAATAGAAGCAACAGCTAACAGCAGCAGCAGCTAACAGAAGCAGCAGCTAACAGAAGCAGCAGCTAACAGCAGCAGCAGCTAATAGAAGCAGAAGCTAACAGAAGCAGCAGCTAACAGAAGCAGAAGCTAATAGAAGCAGAAGCTAACAGAAGCAGCAGCTAACAGAAGCAGCAGCTAACAGAAGCAGCAGTTAAGGGCAGCTGCTAACAGCAGGAGCAATATCAACAGCTAACAGCAGCAGCAGCTAACAGCAACAGCAGCTAGGAGCAATATCAACAGTTAGCACCAACAGCCAACAGCAAGAGCAACAGCAACAACAAGGAACAACAACAGACAGCAAAGGTCAGGACTTAACAGAACAATTTAATAGCATCGCCGCCACTTAACAGTAACAGTTAACAGCATTCAAAAAAACTACAAGCCAAAACTAACAGCAACAGCAACAGCAGAGAGCAGTAATAACACCTAGCAACGGTCAGAACTTAACATCTAATCTAACAGCAGCTGCACAACTTAACAGTAACAGTTAACAGCATCAATAGTTAACATGGGCCGCACCGTTCCCTACTTGCTTTAACATTTTTAGACCAAAAGCAAAAATATTTTGAAACAAAATTGGAATTCAGCAAAACCAAAAAATAAAAAAAAAAATTGAAAAATAAAAGGCGCATGCGAATTTTCAATTAATATTGCAACTGCAACTGCAACTGGGATGTTGCAACAGCAGCTAGGCGAACGCACTGCGTCTGTCTGACTTGGCAGACCTGGCCAAATAGCAATCATTTGTTAGCCAAAAATAAAAGCCAAACGAAGAGAAAAAAAAGGAAAACATAAAGCTAAAATGCATTTCTACAATTGGCGGCTGCTTTCGTTCGTGGCCTTTTGGTTAACATTTTGCATAACTGCGGGTCAAGACGGAAATGGAAGACGTTCGCCAGCCATTAATAATTTTTATTATACGCTTTGGCTTTGGCGCTTTGGCTCGTTGGGTCGCCTTGGCGACGTGGACATCTTCAATGCGTTTCGAGTGCCTTTTGTTTTTAATGGAAACGTGCCACACAAGCCAACAACTCACCAACTGCCACATGCAACAAACCAAATGCCACATGCCACATGCCGCATGCCACATGCAACACATAAACATCTGCTTTTTAACTGCGCCTTCAGCTTTTCGCAGCTATTTGGGCGTCTGACTGGCCTTTTTTTATTATCAGTAGCCGCCGCATAATCCAAATTAAATTGTCAAAAGAAATGTCAATTCAATATGCGAGACAACGGCAAATCTTGTTAAGCGAATGCCCAAGAAAATTGGAAACAAACCCAAAGCACTCCGTCATCTTGTCTCACTCCTCTGTCGGTCAAACTCTCGCGCCGTGGTCGAAATGTCAAATTAAACTGTCAGGGCGACTTTTAGACCATTTTTTCTGTGTTTTTCTGTTCGTCGTTTTCGGCTATTACATAAGCTACTTATCAGCTGTGATAACTGCGGGGAAAAACTCCAAAAGAAATTACGATGTAAACATGTGAAATATTAATGGGCAGCTCCATCAACGAGGGCAGTATGAGAAAGATGACAGACAATCATAAATAATTACATATTTTTTATAGATATCTCTCCTTTCTTTATCAATTTTTTCTTATCTATACATTCAATCAGGGCAACTGCTGTGACCACCCTCGTTTGACTGTTTGCGTTGGTGTCGCTGTGTGTGTGCTGGCCGCGTAGGTGTCTTGTGCGGTCAAGCGCATAAATCAGCGCGACAGTTAAGCAGACATTCGTCCATTCGGGCACTCGCTCATGCGTCAGCCAAACAAAAGACTTAGGCAACGAACGCGACACTGTTGCAACGAAATGCGTTTTATGGCCAAAGCATAACATGTGGCAACAGCTGCATCGCCGAAAC